AGGCTTCCTAGGGAAGCAGTGGGCACACTTCTGAACTCAGCAATCACCGGCAACGTGGGAGAAGGAAGGCGGAGGAATGCACATGTCAGCACACACACTGACTTTATTAATGAAAAGCCTGCCAAGTATCCACTTGTGCAGGGATCCTGTGGGAAGGACAGAAGTCCTAGAACAGGGCGGATTTTCTTTTTCCACTTTTTAATTGCTGTTTACTGATCGACCTGTAGTTGTGTGGCGGTCTTCGGGGGTGACTGAATCCAACGCCGTCGGAAGTGGGTTCACATTCCCACCTTCAGGCTGTCCCCCCTCCTTCTGGCCCCTTCTCTGCGGCACAGAAGAGCTTGCCTATAAAAGGCTCTTGATAAGCTCTCTTGACCCCTCAGTTTCCTGGGCAAGGTTATTTGGATAGCGCTATTACCTCAACTTTCTTCTTCCTATTTCTGTCATAAATCAAAGCCACCTGACACTTTGTTCCTGACTTTTAAAAGGAACAGGTCTCCTTTCTTTCGTTAGCCAGGTCAGAAGAAATGCCGATGGGCTAATCTTGGGAGCATATTTTTCTTGGTGTGGAGCCTGAGAGAAAGAGCAGAGTGGATGTCTCTAAGGCAACCAGGGCAAGAGATTGTCATTGACAATGAGCCAGCCCAGTGTAAAAGAATCACTCTTTTGTCTACCCTCTGTGAGGGGAGCAGAGGTGTTGGTCAGAGTTAACAGCTATGGATTATGCTTGGGGTGGGGTAACAGGGTGAGCTCGCCCCTCTTTTCTGCCCCCTTTTGCTTCACAGCTTCTGAACACTATGTTGGCTCAGCAGCCTTTTCTTCCCGTTACAGACTGCGTGCTGGTTGGTCACACTCAGACCCCACAAGCTAAGAGAGAACTTCCCACACAGTGCTAGTGGAACCTTGGCATTCAGTGAAGCTCTTGTAATGTCAAAGGAAATGTGTACTGTGGGACAATATGGGATGCTGAGAAAAAAAATAAATGAGGAGTACAACACATCAAAGTAGAGTATTTCAGGTCTATTCCTTTCAGGGATACTTATTAATATATTCTGGGGGACCTTGGACTCTCACCTCTACGACCCACTGGAAACCCTTCTCACCAACCTCTTTGCCTCTGAGGATGGGAAAGTGTCCAGGATGAGGCTAAACAATCTCCCCCGAGGCTACACTGAGACCAACAACTGTCTTGAGCCAGTGGAGAACCAGCAACCAAGCCAGCTGACGTATGCTTTCCCTTTGAAGGGGGATGGCTGTCTTTTCACTATCTCCATCATGACTAAATTTGCTAATACAAGCACTGGCATGATGAAAGTATTTAACGAATATGATGGGGGATGCCATCTTTTACCTTGACCTGATAAACTCATTTCTTTGCCAGGTTATTATTTCAGGCTCTGCTTAACCACAGTTTCCCTGTTCCCATTTTTTTATGGATCCCTGGAGATGAAGTCTACATTTCAAATGCTGAGACTGAATTGCTCCTTGAATTACCTTGGGACAATGACCCTTGGTAGTAAGCCAAATGCCAGCTGAAATGTGTGCACTTCCTTCCCATGTTCAAGACGAAAGACCACCTTGTCCTCTTGCAGAGTTTTGCAAACATTCTATTCAACTTACGGTCTAAGACATAAACCCCTAGGAACAGAAATAGGATCAAAAATTCTCTTCAAAAAATGAGATAAAGGGTCATTGTTATAGCAAATGGATTATAGACTCTAGCTTTCTTTAAAAAAATTCAGTCGTAAAGCCTGTAATATATACATCTATATGCATTTCAGACATTAGTTACTCATATTCACTTTTTTTTTCATTATTCACTGCTTCTTGACAAGTTATCACTGATTTTCACTGCCAGCTCCCTACAGCAAGACCTGAAGCCTTGTCAAGGAAAAGAAAATGTCAACAGAGTTCCCAGCCATGCTTTGCTAAAACTCAGGTTCACGTTTTAGGGTATTACTCCATGGATGCTAAAGCAACAGCATCTCCTTTCTCCAAAGGAAGGTTTTGTATGCTCTACTGATCCCCCCCTGCAAATGATCACATGTGTGCTGGGAGATGGGAGAACATAACACTGGTCAAGAAGTCCTGAATATTCCACAGAGAGGCAGGATGGACACATCAGCCACACCCCAAAATTATTACCAAGCCCATTCTGATCAGCAATGAAGTGCTAATCTGGACAACCAGGCAGAAATGGTTGGTTTATTCTGTTCTCCTATCCCGCCTTTTTAATGGGCACTTTCCCCAGCCCCCCTTGCTGGTCCGTGCTGGTGTGTAGTGGAACTCAGAGCTAATGCATGGAAGGGCTGCTCTTTGCCTTCTGCAGACTCAGCCAGAACAGAACACACACTCGTAAGTAAGAGTCGGCAGTCTGTGTACGATAGCAGACCAAGGCTGGCCCTCAGTGGATTCTGCTACTTTAGCCCAATCCAGAGGCCGGCCCTATAGCGCTGACCAAGTATGACCTGTCAGACTGTATGTCACTTACCATGTGGCCGAGTGACAAGTCCAATGTGGCATTTCCACTGAGCTGACAGCCAGAGTACACAACTTACTCCAGCCCACCCTGCTCCCTGGGGAGGGGCCTGTGTGACACTCTGACCTCAATTTGAAGATAGGACAAATGACACAGCCCCTGAGCTGGCCATGGCTAAATATCATACATCACTCATGGTGACAGCTTCTCCTCCTCGAAGCCCAATTTAGTCATTTGGCCACCAGATAGCTTGATCGCATACGACAATTAATAGACTAGAAACGTTTCCCATCTAATGTTTCTTCTGCGTGCGCATTTCATTATTGCAAACACTGTTCAGTTGTCAAAAGAATCAGAAAATATACTTAAATCTCAGAAAATGTGAACGCACTTTAACCTAAAACATAAAATAAAAAACGAAAAGCCCAAAACAAAACATACACACACTGTAATTCACAAATCTAATTCAGAAGACTTCAAGTTTAAGAAAGAGCTAAGTGTCTGACAAAGAATAAGCCTGAGTTCCCCATTCCAGAGGCTTAGTTCCAAATGGAACCAAGGAGTCAGGATGCCAAACGCACATTCGATTCAAATTTTCATTTCTCCTCTATACTTAGGACATCATCTCTCTGGGTGTCCAATAAAGACCTATACCTCAGTCTGTTATGTTAATTCCAGGCACATTTGTAGGGGGGAGGGGTGTTGTAATTCCTGCATTCAGACAGTCCTTTAGGGATTCATCTCACTGGGTGCTCTAATATTTAACAATGGTTTTCCACCTCGGGGAGGAAGGAATGGCAATTTTCTAAGCCTCACCTGTTCACTGCATTGTTCTGCTTCCCCTTAAGTCCTCCCTGGATCCTGGTCACGTCATAAGCAAAGGATTAGTTTTGTCAATGCAAATCATACTTTAAGTTATTACAATGCCCAATTAAATGTGGATGCTCCAAAAATAAAGGATAAGGAAGCAAAGTACACTATTGTTTTAGTTCCCAATTTAGCGTAGCCAACCCTCAGAAGAACGGTGCCATTTTAAGCAGTAACAGCTGCCCAGAAGTATTTATGTTAAGCCATCCAAAAATCTGGTTTGGCAACAAAAGTCAAGAGGAGAGAACGTGCCTCCAGGCTGGCCATTTATTAAGGGCTCCAGGTGCTCATATTCATGCCCGAGGGCACGCAAGTTCCGTCCAAATTTAGAAGGTGGGACTCCACAGTTTGGAAAGTCAGTGACAAAGCACTTCTCCTTAGAGTCAGGACACTTTCTTTTCAGAGGTGCCTGTGTCTACCACTGACTGGATTAGGACGGAAACCTCACCCATATAGAAAAGGGCATTTCCGTAAATGTTTGGAATTCTTGCTGATAAAAACTGCATGTCAATATCTTGTTTAGCCTCCTGCATGCATTACCACAACTGTCTGGGCTTCCAGGCTTGATTTCGGTGTCTACTGAGCAGATTTGGCTAACACGTCCTCTCTGGCCTCCTCCCCGGGTCTCTGTGCTCCTTGCCTCTCGCTGTCCCCTTTGATGGTGATCTTCCTCCACTAGCCTCAGGGGCTCCCTACTCTCCCACCGGGTTCACTCATCCTGCCTGATTTTAGAGTTACAAAGTGACAGGCGTGTCCCTCCGTGGGGCGACATGCTATACATTCACTTGTTTCCCAGCAGTGAAAGTCCAAAATGGGCTCCGAACTCCCGAGAAAATACATGAGGATCTCACTGAAGTGAATGCCCAAGGTCCAATACTCATTGGGGAATGAGTATTGAGAACCTGACCAGAGCAGGAGTGCCAAAGCATTCTACCACACACGGACCTGCAGGCTTCCCTGTCGTTGGAATGCGGCAGAGAAACATTTAGAAAATAGCTATGCTTCTTTTTTTTAGTTATAGGAGGTGAAGGGTGGTGGCAGAGGGGATTTCTTGAATCCATATCTGAATCTGTGCCAGGACAAGAAATAGTGCACATTTGGGTTGGTTGCCCACCAGCTGCCATGCGCTGAGCACAGCGGTCAGCCATGCAGAAGGTCTGAGATGAGAGAAGCCCGGACAGCCCAGAAGGCACCTGGGAAGAGTGCAGGAGAATGCTAGAAGACCGACCTGCCTGCCTTGCTGGGAGTGTGGCTAAGAGGTTCAGAGAAGCGTTCTCAGGGTCACCACCCTGATGATAGACATTTTTGTGATTTCACTGCAATCAAGAAGCTTATGCCCACTTCATACAAACAAGATAGGAATCAAAACAAGACATCAACCTACCTACAATGAAGTTTACATGCTGCCTGGTGGACTTCATCTGTGAGTGAACAAAAGAAGAAGGAAGCGTGCCCCCGCTCCAATTCCACAAGATGGGTTTCTCACGCAACATAAAACTCTCTTAGCTTTCTCCCAGAACAACTAGTCCTGATGTTTAAATATTGGTGAAACATAACGTTTTTAATTTCACACCTCACAGAGCACAGCTGAATGCTTCAGAACAAGGTAAACAGAAGTTAGGCCAAGCACTGCGGATGAACTGAAAGGGAACAAAATGGCTTCCCCTGCGGTATCTACTCCAGGTTTGCGAGGGAATGTGGAACTAACAAACTGGTTGGCTAAGGCCACAGAAATGGGTTTTATGGTGTTTTGGCTGCTGACACCAGTCTCTTCTGACAGAGATGTGTTAACACTGGGTGCAACAAACTGCATCTCTTTCCTGGGACCAATCAAGACGACTCACGTCTTATTTCTTCCTCGATTTCTTTTTGGTGGTGTCATAAGCACGGACAATTTCTTCCTGAGTAACAGCTCCATGCTCTTCTTGAGAGAAGGCATACCCATCTGCAAGAGGAGCACACACAGGGATTGGTGAGGAGGAGAATCAGGGTAGCATGCTGGATTTAGAAGAAAAGGCCTTCGTGGGAGACAGCAGCTGACCTTTGCCACACTGGGCTCGCCAGCCTCAAGCAGGTGGGGCACCCGGATGGACAGACCTGTGGCTTGGAAGGGAAACGTGGGCAGAGTGTGGGGTGGGGTGGGACAGGGCCTGACCAGACAGGGCCTGACTGGTCCTGGCTGCTGATGCCGAGGCTGGGATGTGAGGGGCTGGGGAGGCGGGGGAGGGTGGCCTCCCTGCAGCTGAGCTCAGCCTGGGAAGCATAAACAGTGGGTCACTGGTCCATGTCTGCACTTTCCCAGCGCCGATCAAGAGGAAAGGCAACTTGCTCAGCTCCAGAAGTGTCCCAGGCTGCCCAACACAGCAGGCTGGCTGGGTAATTTATAGCTGTAAACAGGCCGGGGAACACACACACAATGCTAGTAGGCAAAACTGGCCATGTGCGCATGGATACTTGTGGCATTCCTGCGCTTATATGGGACTGATATGGACTGGTAATCAGAAATTACAGTGCGTTCATTTTTGTGGAAATAAAGGAAAAGATCACAAGATAAAGTCAAGAGGCCACAGGAAGACCGGGTCTTATCAACAGTTCCAACAACAAGAATAATGCTAGCAGCAGGCGCAACAAAATCAGATGCTATGTGTATGGGGCCTGTTCTATGTACTACACACAAACAGCTCATTCATTACCCCAGCAGCCCCATGAGGCAGGTGATAGTATTCTCCCCATTTCTCAGATGGGGAAACTGAGGCACAGGGTGATTTTTTTTTTTTTTCCCCCATGACTTGCCCAAGGTCACAGACCTAGTGAGTAGTATAGCTGGGAGCCCAACCCAGGCAGTGGTTCTGCAGGACCCACACTCTCCCTGCATCTCCAGTTCTAGAGAGAGATTCAGCATTTAAAAGCCCACAGTAGGGCCCTCCTTCCTAACTGGTCCTCCCCGCCGAAGGAGCATTTATAAGACTCTCTCTCTCTCTGTTGGCTTACCTTTCTGGGTCAGGGGTACGGAAAAGTCTCACAGCTGGATTAGACATTCTGGCCCAAAGACAACAGTAAAATGTCTGACAAGGGTGACTCCCATCCATGTGTATATATGACTTGTCAACAGACATGTTTGTTCACTGTCACGTTCTTTAAAGGGGAAAATGAAATCAGAAATTGTGCCCATGTGCCACCTCCTGGATTGCTAATTATTTTACTCAGACCCCTGGCTTACGAAGGAAAGTTTCTGAACCATAAAGACATAGAACAGCAACGTATCTGGTGGGGATGGTGAGGAAGGCGCTCCGCTAGAGGATGCTCAGGGTGACTTCGTACTCTGCCTGTGCTCATAAGCCAGAGTCTCTGCCCCTGGGCTGGCGTCCCAGCTCCCCTGGCCCCCGCCTGAGGAAACTCCAGGGCTCAGGAGAGCCAACCTGGGAGGTGAGGCCTCGTCTGACGGGTGGCCTGGGAGGCAGTGACGGCCCCGGGCTAGGTAGCGGGGCGGGTGGGAGCTAAGGAAGGACTAGTGAAGGATAGGACAGAAAGGAGTCTTCCCCAGGGAGATGTCCATCCACTGGCTCACCTCCGTCTCTAACAAAACCAAATCCAGTGACCAAAAAGCAGCCGGGGCACAGCAGCCCCCAGGCCGGCGCGGGCCCCACCTGGCCGCGTCCGGCAGCGGGCAGTGTCCCTGGGCTGCCCTGCGGGAATAGGCCCAGGGAGGGAGGCCCTGGGGGTGCTGGGTGCAGGGCACTTGAACGTCCTCGTCATGGCTTTCCACACAAGGAGCCTTCAGAGGCCTCACAGGATCTGAGGAGGAAATGCCTCTCCTCCATTCCTCTGAGAGCTTTTAGACTTTCCCCGCATGAGCTGCTTGATCAGTGAGGCCCCAGGGACGAGGAGCCGTCCTCTGTCCAGCTTCGGAGGGGCGGCTCCCTCCCTCGCCTGTGCTGTGGTGGCCCCTCTAGGACAAGGTGCTCTTTGTGCACCTTTCTGAATGCCATCCGAGACCAGATGCCTTTCCCTGGGATGGTTCAAAGCAGAATCTAGCAAACGACACTGTCTCCTCCAGTCACAAGGCTGTGTTCTGTCGTCGACGTGGATAATCTCTATTCTCCGGTCTTTAAAGGTAACATTTCTAGTAAACAACTGATGTTTTCCTGTGGGAGCCACACAGTGGTCGTCTGTGGCCTGCCGTGCCACCCCAGGTGGACGCTTCTCAACCTGGCAGAGTGTGGCTCTGATCCCAAGCAGTGGGGGGCCCTTCTAAGTGCTCTCCATGAGCCGTTCTGGCGGCAGGCTGATGACTAGGGAGCTTTCCACCCTGAAGGCGGCTTTCTTTGCCTGCTCTGCTTTCATCTTGGATCCGGGGCCCAGGGCCTGAGGCAAGAAGGATGCTTCTAATCCTTGCCTGGCAGTAACTTGGCCACAGGACCATGGGTTCTTTAAGTTCTCTGGGTCTTCTTCATTTACTGTTCTGTGAAATAAAGGGCCTGGACCAGGTGGGGTCCAAGTTCCAGCAGAGCTCCCACCCTCCCAATGGGCTCCAGGCTTTTCCATGGCCAACTATACCCAGGCCACAGAATCCTCTCCTTCATTCAGGGCCAATTCACACTCAGCACCAACGGAGGAAGCCTCTACCTCCATACCAGAGAAGAAAGGAACCTGTCGCAACAACCCATCCAAAAAGAACAGCTGGAACTTGTCTTTTTTGGTGAGCTTTTTGGAGGGGGCTCCTGGGGGAGAGGAAGAAATGAAGGGGACTCGTTGAGACAAAAAAAGCAAACATTGTTTGGGAGTGTCCTTGGGAAAGGTAGCTTAGCCTCTGGAATTGTCTACTCCTTGGTCAAGTGGAAGGAACAAAAGCCTTGTCTTCCTTTTTCTGTTTTTCATGCACACCCTGCCTATGCCTACTGGGACAGAACCACGGCTGAGAGCTGTGAGGCATCCGTGGCTTGTATTTGACTCACTGGCACGAGGGCCTTCCACTGGGATTACTCAGCCACTCCAGACTGCGAAGGGCTTCCAGGTGTCCACTTGAGAGGACCTTCCCAAGCAAATCTCGTCTCAGGGTAAGTTGAGACCCAGAGGTCATGACCAAAGGGCTTGTCCAGCAGTTCCCATGTTTGCAGAATGTTACGCACTAAGATTTCCCTCACTAGACTTTCTCAGCCTCCGCAGAGACTTGAACTCTGCAACTCAAGAAGGGAAAGGAGGATGGCTTGGTAGGGTTATCCTGGGGCAGGGGTGTCTCCCTGGTTCAGATATAATATTTTCCTCTCAGAAACCAGGCCTGGTGGGAGATAGGGCTGTAATGGGAAAAGTTTTAGTGGGGCAAAAGAGGCTATGACCACCCAACTAGCCTTTGCCTGTCCAGCCTACATCCCTCAGCTTGACAAAGATGCACCATCAGGGCACCAGCTTCTGCCTGATGAACATTTAGCCGCCATTTGCATCCAAATGGGGAGCTCAGAGGAAGCCTCCAGCTCTTAGCCTTTCCCACTTTCATTCATCTTTCAGGAAGTCCTGACAGCCACAAAGTAGGGGGCTTGGGGAAAGCCGTTCATGGACCCAACTCCTGCACTTCCCCGGGCTGGCTTCCAGGGAAGCATCTGCTTCCTAAATGCTCAGCTGCAGCCAGAATCTGGGGGCAGAAGAGGGTAGGTGAAAAGGGATGGAAGGGGAGGGGAGTGTCTAAGTTGTTTTGTATTCTCCTGATAGAACATTTGGTGAAGTCCATTAAATCATGTCATTTTTTTTTCATTATTTTGGAATAAAACTCCCCTTAAATAGCTCTGATAACATCTTCATGAGAGTAGAAGTTTCCTGTCTGGAAAAAGAGTCCTAAAAGCAACAGAAGTCGGGACAACCATGAGGACGACAAGGAATTAAGACTGTAGGAAATGCTGATCTCAGTTATACATACTGTGTGTTGGTGTCCTGGTGTCCTGCAAGGGACTAAAAATGCGGCCAAGGTGAGAGTTGTCCTTCCGGTTTTCTGGGAAGACAGGCCCAGAACAGTGGAAGGACAGATCCAGGAGGGAGAGCTATGCTGGAGGCTGACAGAAGAATGCAGAACTTCTCACAGGCCACGACCACTTCCGGTCTCCCCATGGCCTTCTCTAGTTACTGACAGAACGTTTGGTTATCGATCGGTTTCTCACTATTAGTTGCTGGGTGTTTTTAAAATGTGGTGTGATTTTAGAGGCTTTTTTATCTCTTGTACTTGTTCATTCTAATTTTCTTTTGTCCTTCAAAATCCCAAGTTAAGAAAATTTTTTTAGTAGTTTTGAGACATTTCATGACTCTCCTGTAAAAGTTTTTACTCGGTCTTTGATCTCAATATATGTATCCTATATATTCTTCCTAGGGTTATTGTGAAATATTTATTAGAGAAGCAGCAGGGCTCCATGGCATGAACCCCACTGTTTACAGAATCAGTACTCATTTTCTCTGTGTCTGCTAGAAAGAAGGTGCTTTATATACATCGTCCTAAAGCCTCACAAAGACTGTGTAAGATGTGTATTATTTTTTTTCCCTTTTAGATGTATATTATTAGATTTCTTTTTTCCCCTCAGTGGAGGAAACAGAAGTTTAGAGAAATACGTACATCGCCCAAAGTTACTCAACTAGTGGCAGAAAAAACCTGGTAATACCTCACATTTTTTGGACTCCATATCGTCAGGTGCTATTCCAGGCTCTTTGTATAAATGATCAAATTTAATTCTCCCCCAAAACCCAGTTCTTACATCATCTCCATTTTACAGATATAGAAATGGAGAGGTTAACTTACCTAAGTGCACAAAAAAGTGACAGAGCTGGAACAGGACCCCCAGGCAGCCCAGCTCCAGAAGCGGGGCCCCACAGACCTCACTCCCTGGACTGTACCATCAAGCCTCCTGACCGGACCTCTCTCCTGGCTCAGAGAGACCACGGCTGACCCAGATCGTTGGGGCCTTGCTGGGCCAGTTACTATACTACACTGGCCTGAGCCTCTGCCACGTGCTCTTGGGGCTGACAGCACCTACTCCCTGGGACAGGACACGAAGCAGGTGAGGTGCCACATGAGCTTGGTCTCTGCCATGTTGGTATCCCACGTGGGAAAGTGAGGGGAGGGAGTCCTTCCTTTCCTTCTGTTAGAAAATCTGTGACGATCTGTTGATGGGTGGAGCTCAACCGAGCCTGACACAGACCCCTCAATACCTGTATTATGGATACAAGGATTCTTCACTTCTAAACCACTCTTGTTTCCTTCTGAACACCTCAGGGAGAGAAAGGGAAGCAGGAAGCAGTGTTGTTGAGGAGATGTGACGTGCACGTGCAAGAGAGGGGGTTCTGGAAAAAGAGGTGGGATTTGGAGGGGCAGAAGCAGGTGACAGGCCACGACATGCCAACAGGCCTCACCTTGGGGAAGGCAGAGATAACCCCCTCCCGAAGGAAACCAGTGCTAACAACGCCCCTCCGCGGGGAGTCAAGTGGCTTAATTGCTGAACTAGCCCCACAACCCCCGTTAGCTCTGCTACCCATCTTCCTTTCATGGCCTCCTGCCCCCTCCCCTGGGGTCTGGCACATCCCCACTGACCCCGGCTTAGGTTTGGTCCTTTCAACAGAAACCAGGCCTGGCCTCTGGTGTTGAGTGGGGCACCAATGCTAGATGCAGGGCAGCCTTCCCGGGAAAAGTACAGAGACTTTTTCCCCAGTGATTGTCATTGTTTTAATTAATAAGCTAATATTAACGAACTATCTTTGTGGGCAATAATCCAAAAGTAAGATCATTTCAGCCTTAGAACAAAATCCTACTGGGAGGCTGACAGAAGGATCTCGACCACATCAGGATTTTAAGTTTTAGGATTTTGTCATTCAGGCATTTGATTGGGTCCCAGGGAATTACCTGCACTCAAGCTACGCTTGCCTAGGGCCAAATACACAAATTCCACTTCCAAATGTGGGGCTCCGGCTTGGCAGTGGTCTCCAGACATATCAGCACCAGCATGCTTTAACGAAGCCACTGCCTCCCCTGCGTGGCCGGGGCTACTTACGGGGGACACACTGCTGGATGGAGCCTCCCCGGAAGAGAGTGGGGGGTGTCTTCCTGCTGAGCCTCTTCAGTAGGCGGTCACGTTCATTCATCCTGCAGGTAGATCAAATGCAGTCAGTCCTGGTTCATAGAAACACCTCTCAAAGGGCCTCACCCAGTGACTTGAGGTTGCAAAAATAAAACAGACAGGGGAAAAAGGCTTCCTCATGTCAGGAAAAACGTCCAGGTTGGCAAGCAGCTCTATTATTTACAGTAGATGCTATCTCGACACCTTGAGTGCACTGCTCCCTCTTCTAAAAGGTGCTCTGTTTCCAGTCTGTCCTGTCCGTAACGCCTCTCAATGCGGCCTTCCTCTTAACTGAAGCACACTACAAGTGCCCTTTCATACCAGGCTCACCCTTGGCTTTCCAGATCGCTTATGCAAGCAGTGATTTGTTTCTAGGGAAATGTCTTAAAGCCTCCGTTCCACCTGCAGCCGCCTCTCCCCGAGCCAATAAACTCTACCAAGGGCGAGAGCCTCCCCAGGGGCCTTGGGTCCCCAGCAAGAGACTGATTTCTTTTTGCACAACCTGATTGTTATTTTGAAACAGTGAAAACCAAGGGGAGTTTTCTTGGAAAACACAAGGATTAGGAGCTCTTCTTGCCTTCCCTGGAATGATTGCCTCCAAGTCTGGCACCTCTGTAAGGAAATATGGAGCACAGCTGATGTTCATTCCTATAAAGCAAAAGGGGGATGCTTTAAAATTGCCCAGGTAGGCAAGAGGGCTTTGATTTCTTATCATTACAATGTCACTTTGCTTGCCCCAGGAGATTCCTGGTGTGTGGGAGTTTGCCAATGCCCTCTGATGTGGGCTGAACTGTGTTCCCCACAGATGCATATGGTGAAGTCCTCACTCCCCAGTTACCTCGAAATGGGACTGTATTTGGAGACGGGATCTTTAAAGAGGTCATTAGGGTGGCTCTTAATCCAAGATGACTGGTGTCTTCTTGAGGAGAGAAGATTAGGACACAGACACCCACAGAAGGAAGTCCATATGAAGACAAAGAAGACAGCCATCTACCAGGCTCAGAAGGAACCAACATTGCCAGCACCTTGATCTGGGACTGCCAGCCTCCAGAAGTGTGAGAAAATAAACCCTGCTAAGTCACTCAGTCTGCGGTACTTTGCGATGGCAGCGTAGCAGACAAATCCCCCGCAGATCTGCTGTTTGTGGGAACGTGAGGCACCGAAGCTGCAGCTGCCTGCCGTCCCGAGCACATCCCCCACCATGTCTGTGGGCCTTGAGCCTGAGGAGGATGATCTCCTGATCACAGTCCACTTCACAGCGACCTCAAGGGCCTCAAAAGAACGGGGCCCAAGGTATTCTCAATAGTTCTCTGAGCTGAAGTTCATTTTGCCCTTGAGTTTCCAGAAGAGAATATTTTCTGATTATGTCAGTTGAAAGGACAATGTTTAATTCATCACCAATTAAAGGTGAGCCTCAGCTAGCTAAGCTTGGCAAAATGTCTGATGGCTGATGAGGAAAAACACTTTTTCTATCCCTTCACAGGCTTTCCCTTCTCTCTCATGTCTTTTTCTTCCCTGGGCCAAATTAATCTCACTGGGCCCTGCTGAGTGACTGCCCCGGCCAGCAGCCGACAGGAGCAGACGACCGAGGAGGAGCCTGTGAGTGTGCCGGGTGCCGTCCGGCTGGGAGCTCGCTCCCTGCTGACAGTCTGCGGTTCCCTGGGCTGGCTGCTTTCAGGACAGACGGAGGGTAATGAAGGGCTGTCCTCCCTGTGTGAGCCAGCACTGGCCAGGATGCCTCCATGGAAGGCACCGCCAGGCTCTGCCCAGGGCATGTGTGAAGATGGGGCACCTGAGGGCTGGGCTGCAGCTCCCTGGGGCAGGCTTTCCAGCCAGGTTGTGGCAAGGAAAAGGCACTCCCTCCCCAGGAACCTGGTGGACAGACTCAGCCTACGCTCCGCCAGCGCACCCGACCTCTGCCCCGGCCATCCCTGTGCCTCCACACTCAGGTCCAGCAGCTCTGCCAGCGGTGGGGCGAATGAGAACTTCACAGGACCACACAAGTGGGAAATCCCACATCTTGGTCTCTCACAGGGCAGGTGAGGAGACGCGGCTGTACCAAACACAAAGGTCACAGGGTGCATTACTGGCACTGTTCCTGCCCCTGCCTTTGCGCCGTGCAGGCATCCCTAATTCCCTCGTGAAATGGTGTATGCTTCTCTTTTTTATAACGAAACACTCCAAACGCATAGAAACTAATACGGCGAATGTCCACCAACCTGCTCAGCTTTAGCAAATGGTAGCTCCGCCGCCTGACCCCTTGTTTCAGAGGGACCCACTCTGTCCTGCAGCCCTTCCTTCCAGGTGGCAAAGGCTCCATAGGGCCAAGGAGACATGTCCACCCAGAGCCCATGCCTGTCCCCCAGCCCAGGTATTTGGGACACCAGAAGTCCCTGTTGAGTGACACCTCTCCAAGCTGGCATCCAAAGCCAACTTGACCTCCTCACTATCTTCCTAAGAGCAGACCCTATAGCCAGTGTGCACTCTCCTAGGCCTGTGGGTGGCCAAGGAGTGGTTTTTTGCAAGGGATATGTATGGATGGGGATGTCCAAACACATGTGTGCAAACTCCTTCACAGTTTAGGACAGAGCTGGGGTCTGCTAACTCTTCTCCATGCCACCACTTTCTGGCTCCAACCCCCAAAGAATCTGGGAATCACAAAGCACCACAGTCTTTTTGAAGGTATATTAATCAAGGTATATGGCTATTTGTTAGCTTGACTTATAACTTTCACATACCCAGACATGGTACTTGGTCTCCATTTGCACTCTCACACCAAGTCCTGTCCTGCTTGTGAGAACTACTTCAAAAAATTTTTTTAAGTGGATTTATTATTATTATTATTATTATTATTATTATAATCTCTACACCCAATGTGTGGCTTGAACTCACAACCTTGAGATCAAGTGTCACATGCTCCTCCGACTGAACCAACCAGCCCCACCGACTTCAATTTTAACAAAATGATAAAATCTCAAATATAAAGTCCCTTATATTCCTCCCAGATCCCATTCTTTTTCCTTCTAGTATAATAAGGTTAGAAATAATCTTCCATCTATATGTCATACTTTTGTTTTACATATATATGCAACACAACTAATACTTAATCATGTTCTAAAATACGTCTAAATAGTGTCATTTATTTTATCCTCCTCTTGTATCACATTTTTCTTTGCTCCTTTTCTTCTTATATTCTTTTTAATTATCTACTAATTTAGAGGAACTAATTCTTTGCAGGTAATCTTTTTCCTTCTAGATACTTTTATAATTACTCTGTCTTTGGTGCTGCAGTTTTGTTACAACACTTTGTATGACTAGGTGTAGATTTGGTTGTATATCCCGCTCGGTTACTCAGGCCTGGAAAGCCACTATAACTTGAAAGTTTACCTTCGTGTATGGAAAACACTTTGAATACTGCCTGTCCCCAATTCTCTGTTTTTTCTTATTCAGGGGCTTCTTACATATATAATTCTATCTTCCACATCTCTACATCTCCTCTACATTTTCCATTTCCTTTCTTTCTTTGGCTTTATCTAAACTATGATTCAGCTGACTGGCATGCTTTAATTTCAATTAGGACCCTTTTCATGTTTATCTTCCAGACCCACCTGTTTTTACATTTTTGTATACTGTCTTACTCTTGGTTTTTGATTTCTGTATCTTCTTTCTTCAGTACTTTATAGATCCTTTCAGATAGTCCTTGCATCTCCCATTCTTGGGGGGATGGGAGGTGGACTAATAAATGTCTGCAGTATTCCACAACTCGCCTTCACTGTGGTTCATTTACTGTGTGTGCTCTAGTTATGAAATCATTCTGAAGAATGATTTTCTTTTGCCTCTGCCAGGATCCTATGGTTTACATCAATTTTTATATTATCTTAGCTTAGTTCCTATAGCATTGGGAATAGTCTAAAATTGGACCTCATACATAAGCATGGGCTTCCAGTTTCTAGTGGGTAATTCTTTCCTCCGCATTGCTGCTTTGTCAATCTAGTGAGTAAAATGTTTCTAGTTTCTGTTTCATTAAAATAGCAGCCCTACCAAATTTGCAGCTTTATGCATAGGGTTCTCTTCTATCTCACATGGGACTGAGGTTTTATCTTCTCTCCCTACATTAATCTCTGAACCATCAGTCCCTGAGCCTCTTATGCAGTCTGATGTCCCTTCTTCAGCTTCATCTCCTTCTTAGCCTACTGGCTTTTGTGTCTCTCCATTTTTGGCACCTAGGTTTCTGTGTGCTTCTTTTGAACTCAATTACATATTAAAAGCCTTTCTTTGTTCATATTTCACTGAGCATATCTATGCATCTGGAAAAGTTCTGAGTCAGCTCAGTCTACCATATTGACTTTATCTGGTTTCTGTGAATAATTTATGTTCCCCTGACCCAATTACTGGAAAACATTATGGCTACAAAACAAAGTCATAGAACTGTTCTTTCTCAAGTCCTGCCATCCTCAGAAACAACCTTTTCTGGAGACCCTTAAAATAGCAACATGTTTGACAAAGCTTTGGGTAATGAAAAGGGTCCTAGAGCTTATAAAACACTCTAGTGGAGATGTTTGAGCCACTGACTTCTCTATGTGCTCCAATGTCGAAAATGCAAAGGAATATTATATTCCCAATTTCCCTTTTTCTTCTCTGTGGAAGAAAAAAAGTGTTATGAATGAATATTATTAAAATTTTTCATGAACGATAATATTGAAAAAGCTCAAGATAGAAAGGGGTGATAATAACATTTGCCCTTCATAGTATTCTGTCATCTACATATGTCTTGGAAGCTATCTACTCACAAAGACATAGGAAAGAAGGTGAAGGAAACACAAAACAAATATTTGGTTAATTTTGAATAATGAGAAGAAGAGAAAAAAGGAGTACAAATTAGCACAGGGGAGGACAATTTAAGTCTATGAGATTTTGGTTTAAAAAAGGAGAGAGAATCCTCAAGAAAATGCTGGCAAACTGAATTCAGCAGTATAATAAAAGGATTACACACCATGACCAAATGGCATTTATCCCAGCAATGCAA